GAACTCATTGAATGTCACAAGGGATTAATCTGGTTATAAGCACATACTCTCTTACATGGTGTTTATGTTTTTTGGTACATAAAAGGCTTAGGAAAGCAGGGCAGGGATGTCAGATAATAGGCCCCACCAGAAAGAGAAACTTAGAGTATGGACACGTGAGCAAAACTGCATGAGGTCAATGAGGCTATGAATTTATGATTGTTAGCTACTCTGCAGTAACTGCTCCTGTATATGCTCTTGCCCCTCAGCCATTGTATGTGGCAAGGCATTCTGCATTTTCCCCAGGGTAAGAATGTACACACTAGAAATGAGTCTGGAGTAGCTAACGCCACATTTCACACTCTAGTTTTCCTAGTGGTTATTGGTTTACGTGACCATACCCTGAAAAATATGCCCTACACCCACACTCTTCTATTAACATTTTCCCAAGTTTATAAATATATTACTCAAGGCACCTGTGCTTATAGTGGGACCTCTATGTATACGTATGATGGAAGGGAATTAGATAGCATTGAAACCATTACTGCTTCGGACAGTTGTCAAAGGTAAGAGAGGACTCTTTCGATCATCGGGTCGGATCCTCCTGAATATCACAGGCTGTATAGTATCAACTCCATAATTTCTGCATCAAGACTATAACATTTTGGCTGAACAACAGCACCGCTTTTAAAGGGATATAGAGCCTTGAATTCAAGACTTCAAATGATGGAGAATCTACCCCATCCCCTTAGAAATGGACTCCAATGGTTAAAGGCTTGAGAGTGGGGAAAGATGGAAAGTGGGGGACCATCAAACTTCACAGTACTCAGTTTCCTTATTTTTTTTTTCCAAAGAGCTAGTGAAAATTTTTCATTTGGAACATCTGATCTTACGAGGTCTTACAAGGTCTCTTCCAGGCCTAATGTCTATGAAATCTAGTCCAAATGACTTTCTAAAAATACTTTTAATATATTGTTCAGTCAAAAAGCCTGAAGCTTCATTTTTTCCATTGCATTTTTTTTTTTAAAGAATGATTTTTTTCTCCCCTGTGAAACCCAGGAAAATGCTACCCCCACGGCTCTGATACTCACCCCTTTCCTCTGATTGCTCTTATATACAGTACTTAAAGCCCGCAGCAGCTCCCACTGAAGTCAATGTGAAATTTTCATCAGAAATAAATAAGTAGCCAATTAGGCTTTCAGTGCATTAACTCTTTATGGCACAAACTTGTCTTAATTTCTGTCTGGGTGGCACTGACACCGCTTTGGAGAACTGATAAATAATGCCAGAGGGCCTTGGACAAACAATTGAGATTTCCTTTATTTATATGTGTTCAAACCCTTATTAAAATGTCCTTGAATGACATGATCTTCTCCCTCCTTTGTAGCCTTGTCTCCCACCATCTCCTTAGTTATCACTCAAAAGCAATGTAAGCGGCTCCAGGCTGCGTCTAAAACATTAATCCCTTAGATTGCACCGTGGCCATTCAAACCAGACTTCAGTGCATGTACAAAGTCAGGTGCCCAAGCGTGGCTGTCTGAGTGTGCCTCCTTCTAGGCCAAAGGAAAATACCTCTTTCCTCAGCTGCAAAACTCTAATCAACTCTCAGGAAGAGACGGCTTTGTTTTAACTTGCCCAAATGGGTAGAGAGTTCAACTCTCAAAGCCAGAAGCATCTCGCACATATATGTATGGTGAGATTGGTTTCTGGACCTTGTTACTTAGAAACTGCAGCATACCCAGAACATCAGGCAAGACGTGGAAAGCTGCAGACTGTCTGAACACTTGTTATCAAAATTGGCAGTTCTGGCAGGAATATAGTTATGACTTTCTGTGTGTGAACTGTCTATTTGAAAGGCCTGTGAAATTGAAGTTTTTTAACATCTTTTTTTCTCTTGTGTTCTCTTTCTTGCCTGGCCACTGGTCTGTCTCGCTTGAAGATGCACCTTAAGATGACTTTATTCAGAGTCCTACAAGTGCTGGTAATTTCCCTGAACAAAGAACCCTTCAAGCCTCAAATTACATTTGCCACAATATTTATCACTGGAAATCTGATTTCCTTTTAGCTACCATAGATGCAAAGAGAGAAATGAACTAGGAGGTAGAATATCTCAGTTTAGACCCTGCAGGAAAACATGCCCTCATATGGCTGATCTGTCTGAGACCCACCCAAGAGTGTTTCTAACAGATCTTATTGATTGAATTTTATTGGAATTTTCTAGGCTGCAGACTGGATCTGCTTATTGTGCCTCAGGTATTATAGGCTGTGAGTGATGACCTGGACAGACCCCATCATTCCAAATAAAAGGTAGGTTTAGATGCATATGTGTACGATAGTGCATTTGTTCTGCATGTGAATATATGTTTGCAGCCACAGATGTTCCATGCAATGCACTAAACGTAACTAAAAAATTGCTTTTGCTGCTGTTGACATATTGGGCCAAATCCAGCAGGGACCTACACACTTCTCATTGCCCCTAACATTTTAACCTCTGCTGATGTGCATGTTAACTGAGACTAGCTCATTTAGTCCATCCTTGGGTCTCTTGTTTTCACACGTTCCTAAAACATCTTGATGAAGCCACAGCTTTCAGCTATTGTGTGGCTGCCATTCTGCCACCTTACTGATTTTAGCATTAAAATCATTTACCCCTGCGAAAAGGACAAAAACAGAACTTTTCTCATCCCCGCTCCTTTTCTGTGTGGCTGTGTCCGAAGCCCAAGCCTTCTCTACCTCGCCCCTTCCAGCACCATTTTTCCTACCTGTCCATACTCAGGTTGCCTCAGGTCCATTCGCCAAGTCAGTATTATACACTGAACTTGGGGGAATCCTACCAGGGATGAACGTGCCACTGCTGAACATAACAGAGACCTGGAGAAACAAAGGAAGTGACCTGCACACCTGAATTCATGCACTGGAGACCAGGCATCCAAGAAGGATCTGCCCCCCTTTCAGATATCTCATGAGGTGGCCAGATTTTCAGACGACCCCATCATTCAGCAGCTCCCAATCTTCACAGAAGGTTGAGCTCTTTTGCAATTAAAGAATAATTTTTTTGCAAAAATCTTGTTGTTCTAATAAAAGATATCATCTCTACTCTGAGACCTGATTGCTTTTTGGTGTCTACTGGGGAGCTAAGCGCTTATTAAGCGGCATGGGTTTTGACAATCTGAGCCTCTGTCTTGTAACACAAATTCACTCCAAAGGCAGTGCTGATTTGGGGGGTTCACAGTTTATCAGCATAGATGTTTTCCCAAATTAGGTTTACTAATATACTGCTTGGTCTCGATTTATAGCCGACGTTAAGCTATGTTCAGTTTTATTATTGTTGCATTTGTATGAACTATGGTACCGGAGGTAAAAGCATTTTTTGAACTTTTATAATGTGATTAGTAATAGTCAACAGAGTGAATGCTACTTATATGTCAGGGATGCCTGGGCCAGTCAATGGCTATTCACAATTCAGAGAAAGCCCTGGCTGGCAGAAGGGAAGTTAACCTCTGAGAATTTGCATTTGGGATGGCTAAGCATATCCATCAGCCAGAGAGGCAGTGGTACGTATTTGGGCAGAACTGTTGATCCCGGACAACCATGGTTTACATTTCAAAGAGGGGAAGCCTTTAGCAGGGGGAACCATTTGCAGAAGCTGGACACCTGCAAGGAATAGCGAGCAAAGACTGATATTTCTCACGTTTGAAAAGGATAAGAGAGGGATGACACCTCTTGTGAATGACTGTTAGCTAAGGAAATTGGATTGGGGGCTATCTGGCTGGGAAGGTGAAAATATTCTGACATGTCTTAGATATAATTGTAAATCAGCAATGCCACCTGGCCTGACAGACAGATGCATTTCTGCGGAGAGGAACTCATCTGCATAACACAGACATGCTCCTCAAGAATTGAACAGAATATACATGAGTGAATAAGGTGATGGTCCCTTAAGGGATTCCTTGGGAGAAGCTTCTTTGATAAAGATCTTTGAGTGATTTAGTCCCCCAGCTGCCAGACCTGGGATGACCGCTATGTCAAGCTGAGAAGCTACTTCCAGGGAAACTCCGTCAGGAGAGAGCTATACAGTTACCTGGGCCAAGAAAGAGGTATTGCATTTTAGTAAAAGGAGGAGGGTGAGATCCTTCTTTGAGGCTGTGAGGGTTATTTTCTTGTATTCAATTTGTACGACTTCCAGTTACATGTTTATGTGATTTATCTTGCTTGAGGGATACATCTTTTTGTTGTTTCATTTACCTTACTGCTTGCTTCTGGTAAAGGTGATTTGCAGAGCAATTGATAGGTAGCTCTGAGTGGAAGAGAGGACCGATAATTTTGTACAAACCGCAGGATTATGCCTCAGAAACAGCCAAACTTCCTTTGCTAGAGCTGCAGGGCCTGGACTGCGATAGACAGAGCTAAGGCTCACTGGGGGCAAGATACAATGTGAGGGTCAAATCTTAGTTAGTTTTCAAGCTTCACAACAGTGGAGAGAGGTTGGGGGCAGAAGAGGACCCTGACAGTGGAAGAGCACACACCAACTGCAGATGCTTCCTCAGCCTGAGGACGGCTATTTATACCCGAAAGCTTGCTAAGAAGAATTTTTCCAACTATCTGAGTTGGTCTAATAAAAGATATCAGGTTTACCCAAAGGACCTTGTCTGCCGATGTCCTTAGGCCAACATGGCTACAACCTACACTCCTGTTTGTGACACTCCTTTGAAGGCCAAAGGAACTCTGGTCACCATCAGTGTAGCTAACAAATGAAGAGGTGGGTACTGGCGTACCCACTGAAATCCACTCAAATCTCTGAGATCCACTGATCATCTGTGTCTCCCATTGGTCTGAATGGGGTCAGAGGCCTGGGGAAACCAGGATTCCACTTTGGTGGAAGGCAGTAACATCCAGACCTTGAATGAGATACCCGAGAGAAGCCTTTCTGTGCTCAGGTAATCTTCTACAGCCTGCTGGAAACAGCAATGAGCTGTACACGGAGTGACTCATCAGCTCCTGAGCCTTACCTGATCAGTATGATAACCGACGGTGTCTGTGCCATGGCTCCAATCATGCTGCAAACACACATCACGCAGAGGAATGTCAGGAAGGCTTCTTGGCAACCAGGGCTGGGGCATTTTCCGGGCACGACTGTAGCGTTCTCGGCTGGGACCAAGCTGAGGCATGCGCAGCCAGTGAGATTCTGCAAAAAGCACATGGCGCAGGGTTTAGTGAGAACAGATCCCACCCCCTCCTCCCCCCACCCAATGAGACCTGGCTTTTTACACGGGGGATGCTGCCAACTGGCATTTCCATTTACTCCGGCGGTAAATTAACTAACTGTTAATAAAGTCGCTTGTTGAGCCAGTTGGGAAAGGCTTGGCGTTTTCAAAAGAGCACTGGCTCTGATTCATTCTAGCAGCGAGGTAGCTCCTTCCCTGCCTTATTCTTTTCTTCCTCTCCTTTCAAGTCTTGCAAACAAATGCTGCGGCAAGAAAATTGCCATCAAGCTAAACCCTTGTGAAGAGAAGAAAGAAAAGGATCGGTGGCTCTGCGTCATGACAAAAGTGTCACCGGATTAAGGTTATAATTACTTTCCAATCTACACCTCTGTCTTCCTGACTGTTATAATTAAATCACCGTAATAAAAAGAGGTAAATCTGCAGCTCTGCTCGCTGCTGCTGGTGTTGCTGCTTGGCTGTCTCATTCGGGTGCATGGTATGCTGGGAAGGAGAGGCCATGATGTGTGTACCTTCTTGTGATGAGCTAGGTATCAAAGGGGTGATGGCAGAGACACCAGTGATAATGGTCCTCAAATGTATTATGGGACTAATAGATGCCATCCAGTTGAGAAGGATTTGTGCAGAGCTGCAAGCTGCCGTCAGGCAAGCTAAACTTTATCAATATGCAATCAGAAGGAAAAAGAAGCCACCACATTCCCTTTGATCTTTCCTGCAAGCAAAGGATGTCAGAAGAAGCTTTGTTTGCCTGTCAGATTATTTTTTTTTTTTTTTTGTGCTCACCCTGCTGGAATTTCGGAGTGGGGGAATGTCAGCACAATTAAGGTCCACAATAATAGCAAGCAATCCCTTAATGAATACAGAGCGAAAACTATCATAAATGATTCATGGCTTGTCTCTGCCAGGCAGCTGGCTTTGTAGGTCACGTGTTCATAAGGAAACGAGAACACCAGAAAAAGATAATAAAATAACATGTAAAATCCAGAAGCCAACTCCCCCCTAAGGTTCAAAGAGAGCTTCCTTGGCTTTTAGGCTGGGACTTTTTTAGGGCTTCACAACAGCAGATGCTCTAGTTCAGTGCCTCCACAGATACCAACAGGAACCCCCGCATCTCCTTGCTGACACTAATCCCTCTCTGTATTGGAGTCAAGTGTTTCTTTTTAAAATCACTTCGGCAGACACAAGCCCACAGGACTCCTGGAACCTCATTATACTACAGCGTGAAGGCAGGTGCCCGTCTGTCTGTAATAAGCACCTCTCCCTCCAGCCTGAAACAGCCAGCTGCCAGATGGACCGAATGAGGGCAACTAGTACATACAGTGCTGTCCTTACACCAGTCCGATGTCCTAATGTAGACAGACTGCAGTGCTGCTAGTTGGACTTGTGCTGGCAATTTATGGGGGCAAACCTCATTGGGATAAGCCCCATCTAACATCAGCCGACCACTTCATTGGCAATGTGCTCATAGACAAGACCCAAATCAAGTCTGCTGGCCTACCTGTTATGGGGAAGGCCTTATTGTGCACAAAAGCCAAGGGGGTCTCAGGCATATACATGGAATTGGCTTAGTCCCTGCAGCTGAAACCCAGTAGGAAGGAGGGACGCAGCTCTTATGCTCAGTGGCCAGATTCTGTCCTGATTTACGTGAAACCAAATCTGATGTGAATCCAGTAGAGTGACACTGGTGTCAGGTAAGCAGGATGTCAGAACTGGGTCTCAATTAGACATGCTAGGATGTACTTCAGGTGTATTATAGAGGGTAACGGGAGCAGCTTAGTAGCTGCAAATCTGACTGGGGCAGAAATCGTCCCAGGCAACTGGAGCCGCAGGAGCACTCTCCACTCCATGTGTGTCTAACTCCACTGCTGAGACCTTTTCCCCTCTATCCTCTTTCAGTCTCCTCTTTTGAATGCATCAACCTTCAACAGCAATATCCTACAGCAGTGCAATACAGCTTGTTTCGAATGCAGCACTGTGCAGGGTGCCCAATCCAGTCCTTGCCTAGGAGATCTTTGATCGTTTGTTACTGACATCATAGCACGTGCTACAGCAACACACTGACATCAAACGCGGAAACATCAAAAATGGAAACATCAAACACAGATGCTCACCCTCTTTCTGTGAAGAGGCAATACTTTGCTCCACATGCCAAATCACTATTGAGTCCCACAGAATGCCTGGCAATCCTGTCACCATTCGGTCGCAAATTTATCATCATCTTCCTGCAACTCAAAAGCTTACTGCCTGAGCACTGGATTTTCATAAGTGGCAAAATTTACACATATAGCTGGCTCAACTGCTTGTGGAAATTATGAGGGGAAACTCCCCATACTTGTGTTATCAAAAAAAAAAATGGCAGTAATTGGTGAGCAACGGTTGGTATTTCAATGTAAAGCCTTAAGGGTGCCAATACACATGCAGTGAGGCTGCCCTGTAATTACAGCGCATTAGACCAGTCTCGATTAATTGAGTCTGCTGAAGCGTGGGAATTAGCATGCTCCAGCAGATTCCAGTGTCACGTGAATCAGTGTCCCCGTGCTGAAAAATGGTGGCTGGGGTGCTTTAACTAAAGCTCGTTGAACGAGCTTTAGTTAAAGCACCCTCACTGCCATTTTTCAGCCCAGGGATGCCGATTCTGGGTGCTTTAATTAGAACGGTTCTTGGAGCCGCTCTAATTAAAGCACCCCACCCCCACTCCTGAAGCATGTCTATAAATGCCCTAAGAGTTCAGTGCTGTAACATCAGGTTTGGAAATCATGTTCTTCTTGCCGAAGGGGTAATTGAAAACCACCACCATGCAACAAACAAGATTTATGGTCTATGGCTCAGGTCTCTAGGGTCATTGATAGTCGAGGAATGGTTAGAAAGAGAATTTCCTGAAATGAAAGAGCTGTTCCTTTCCCCCTTTAGCACTAATAAACACCAGAGCCTCAGGCTCAACTGCACGTCTTCAGACCAACTTAATCACAGAGAACAATGGCGTCTAAGACAGACAAACTAACCGAGTGCTACAAACTACATCAGAAGTTGTCCACAGAGAGGAAAAGCTGGGAAACAAACAATGGGGTAACATTAAATAAAGCATTCAGAGAACTTTATGTCCCTGTAAAAAGCAACCCTTGGCTCATCACAAGCATATAACATCCACAAGGCCTTCTAGGCAGGTCATTACCTGGATTATGGGTTTAAAACTTAGTTTGGCAATTTGGCTTTGCCTCAGGGCCACTGTTTGGCCAAACCAGTCCATAATTCTTGGTGATGTCCTTTCCAGAGGATGCTATTGCTTCTGTAACTCATGCCCAGAACGTTACTGCCAAAACCCCAAGATGATGATGAAGTAAACCAGGAAAGACAGAGAGTGTGGGAGAGCAAGATGTTTGCTAGGTGGGTTTATATTTGTGATATGTTAGGCATCATACTTATATAATGATCAGGAAGACCTGACACAATTATTGGAGACACATGCCGTGCTTCCTTTACAATGCTCTGTTTTAAGCAATGAAAAGTTTGCTGTAAGCAGAATAAACATAAATTTCACATTTATGCTCTGCAAGTAACTAGTTAATTTTTTTCCTTGCCAACGACCTGGCATAGCGGGCAGACGTCTTTCTACTGATGCTTTGTTCCATGTCAATGGTGTTAGGGAGCAAAATTGGGCACAAGGTTAATGCCAAAGGAAATGCAGGAGATTAACACATGCAGCTTTTGCAATTTTGCGTGCAATGTCCTGGCCTAAAATCCTCTTCAAAGACCTAGGTGTTGGTATCACGGTGTCTCCTTTGCTCCTGCTGAGAGGTTGGCTGTGAAACTATGTCATCGGTCCTGGGCCCATGGGTCACACAGACAGACAGACAGAGATCTTACAGCAGTCACTAGAGGGTGGAAGAGAGGCTGACACAAATCCAGCCTGTCACCAAAATAGATGCACATGCTTGTGGAAAGTTAAAAAAAATCCCCACGTAGCACCTGCCCGCTGAAATTCTGACTCTGAAGATGCCAATGAGGTCAGATGCAAGGGCTGGTACCCTGCAGGGTGGCTAAATGGCAGGAGATTTCTGCTGTGTGCCATGACTCATTGCTTATTAGCAGCGAGCTCTTGTCTCAGCCTCCTGGTTGTTCCAGGCTTGTGTGTTTCTTCTTGGAGGGAACCGAGGGCATGAGATGCACCTCACTGTTCAGCTTTAATACCCGTCTTTCTCTGCCCTCTTCAAGCAGCAGCCTGCTTTTTTTGAGTTGCCTGCCTCCTCTCACACACCTAGTAGCTGTACAGCACATCTGTCTCTGGCCTGGCACAGTGGAGATGGGCAGGAAGCTGTCCTTTGTTTTTTTGTGAGATGCAATGATTTCCCAGTTTCTGCTGGGGTGGTTTAGGATTAAAAGTGAGTGATCTACATGGTATGCTCGCTAGAAAGGAGAGGCAGAGCATTGAGCATATCAGAGGCAGGGCAAGTGGGGGGAACCACAATGCAATACAATTTCACAAATAAAGAAGGGCAAAGCAGAGCAGGGATAATTGGATATGGCGCGCTGTGCTGCTTCAACAGCTGTGAGCAGCCACTGCACCCAGTCTCATTTAATAAGATCCCAGGTACGCAGAAGAGCAAGGGGCCTGGAGTGCTTCAGAAGAGATTTCTGGCCAATCTATCTTTTGTTATCTCGCTTGTAGCACTAAGGATCCTAGTACCCATGGAGCTCCTTTAATTCCTGCAGTGATCAGTCTTAAGATAGCAAAGCTGCAATAATAATAACAAAATAATGGGACAGTCTTTTCAGGCATTTCTTTCTTTCCCTCCACCCCTAAAAAAAAAATCCCTCATCTTAAAAGGCAACATAGGAGATTCTGAGTCACTAAAGAGCTGGTCTCCTTCCCCAGAGAGGGTTTGTTCTTTAAATGAAACAAACCCAGAGATAGTGAGACTGAATAAACAGAGTGCCTGTGGCTATCAATGTGAGCTGGAGTCCCTGCTGCTCCACTGGTCCTCTGTTCTCGACTCTGTTTGAGAAGGGAGAATAGAGAAAAAGTGGTTGAAACAGAGGAGGAAAAGGAGGAAAGGGAAGGAATCAGGAATGAGGAAGGCAGGGCACGATGGAGAGCAGAGGAATTAGGGCGGCCAGTGAAGAAACAGGAATGAGGAGAAAGAGGGGAGAAAGCGGGAAGAAAACGATCTTTCTATAAGCAGCCAGGCGCAGAACCGGTGAGTCCCTCCAGGTGGGTCTGGACTCTGCCCCAGGCCCAGGCTGGTCACTCTGGGGTCTGACAGATCTTCATGTGATGCAGGAAGACTGTCAGAGACATTTATGTGAGCGAGTGAAAGATGGCCTATTCAGTTGCTCTCACTCTTAGGTAAGAAGACGGCTAGGGGGCTTCAGCCACTCTTGGGTGAAAATGAGCAGCTCTGTACAGGATATACTCCAGCCTCGCACATCTGTATCTCGCTCTGTCTCTCTCACCCACACATACACATACACATGCACACACCCACCCACCCGCACAGCTGGCTAGGAGACACTGAGTAAATCAGGACAATTACCGTGCTGTTGCAGCCAGCAAAGCAGGCGGATAAGTACGTGATCCCGTCTGCCCCACAGACTGGAGTGAAGGAATCGGTTTGGCATTCACAGTTGTTATTGCAGGGGGAATATGGGTCCAAAGGTGAGGTCGGAGTTGCGCTGTAAAAGAAGCAGAATCAGAAATGGATGGGTAGTGCCATGACCCCCCACTTGCTTCCTCAAGCAGCGCTGCATGACAAAGGCTTTGGGAAGCCAACAACTGGAAGCACATGGCATGAGGGGCAGCAGAAAAAAACTCTAGGTCATACACTCTGCCACTGAAAAAAACACACTGACATTTACCCCTTCTGGTGCCATCATCTCTCTAGGGTAGCTCAGGAGTGAGAGGGGGAATTTTAAGTGAAGCTGCACCAGACACATTTGAGCACTGCACAGCCCAAGGCTACAGCGCTCCAAGGCAGGAGCGGCTGGACGGTGTGCATCTAGCATAGGAACAACCAGCAGCAGACAGGGGGAAGGACCCCATCACATATGGAGAACCCTGAAATAACACACTCATAGTGTCCCATCAGCTCCACAGGGCACTCCGGGGCCTAAAGTGCCACTGAAAATGCAGCCAGGCAGCGAGTTGGGCAGCAGTAAATAGCCAAGTTTACAAAAGGATGTGCCCCATTTCACCCTGAAATCCTCAGTCAGGCACTCGAAGGTAAGCCATCTCTCTAATTCTCAGCAGTGGTGTGTACCCGTGATTCGGCCTGACTTTGGCAGTGGAAGTAAGTGTCCACAGCTTGTAAATAAATGACCTTCTGTCTCCTGCCACTTGGGACGGTTTTAGCTGAGCCCAATGGAAGTTACCTCCCATGCTTCTTTTTATGACTTATTTCCTGGCACTTCTGCAATACAGGGTACATTCAACCAAGGCAATATCAGCTGCAACATTAATGACTTTAGTGGCGTTTCCCTCATGCAGCCCCTGGTGTATGTGTGCAGCAGCCCTGTTAATCTGTATTGTTACTTAGCCCTGGAGGCACTTGAATTTTTGAGTGATGGCTGCAGTAAAAGCCAGACAGACAGAAAACCAGAACTGATACGAGCAGGTTAGTTGAGGTAACGTGCCACTGTGCTTTACTGTCCAGCCAGGATAATGGGCCGGTGGGTGTGAGGGATGGAGGTGAAATTCAGTGTGCACTCACTTGTTTCCATAGGGAACAGTAACCCCAGCAACAGGACCTGTGTCACAGCCCAGGAAGAGGAACGAGACGTAACAAGCTGTGGACACCAGGTTAACTAGCATGGCCATCCTGATGGCTCCGAGTGCAGACAGGCTGAGCTTCTTCACCAGGAGACCGCCCAGGAATATGCCCAGACATGCACATGGGATTGCCGTCATGCCTGAAAGAGGAAGAAAAGGTTAGGGAGAGGCACGGTGGGACAGTCAGAGTTGGAAGACCAAACTGTAGAAGGATGTACGGTTACCTTCCAGTGAGTATCTCAGGGTGCTGGTGACAGGGAAAACCCCTCATGGTGAGCAGTGCCAATGTGGGGAAGCATCCCAGGGACTAGATGCTTATCTGTGTATTCAGGAGCAAGCAGGTTCCCGGTTTGAGAGGACGATGGCAAGACAACCTCATCTGGTCCCCACTCTTCCTCCTTACCGTTCCATCCGGTGCAGACCTCTCCATCTGCAGTTCTACCTACAGTCCAATTTTTTTATGACCTAAAGCATTTCACTGATCAGTGCTGTCTGAAAAGCTAGCCTCTTTAAAGACCTTTAAGTTTGGTTCTCACACTCCCTAGTCACTTTGGAAAGCTGCTGAAGGAAGTTTCTCACCATGTTGGGCCTTTTCTGGCTCACTGCCCCCAACTCCCCACTGCTGCTAGTTATACCCAAAGGCTGTGTGTCGACATGACAAGCTGAATCTAAATTCTGCAGCAAGGTCTCTGAATGTGAAGACCCTCATGAGCAGTAGCTGGGAAATGCTACACTAAGTTCGTTTAAATTAAAAAATGGAGAGGAGCCAGCAGCGGGACAGCAGCCAACAAGTTCTTTAGTGTGATATTAAAATCAGAAGCTGCTCGAAGCATGACCAGGATGCATCTGATGGGCTATGAGAACAGCTGCTTGAGGCCCTTTTGTTGGCTGCATTTCCCATTTGAAATGCACCAAACCGAGGGGGAGATAAGGGCTTTCCAGAGGAACTGGGCTCCACGTCCGTGCAGACAGCTCTAGCCATTAGGCAGGCAGTACAGCACAGATCTTAGCTAGATAAGCACCTCTGCTCCTTTGGGCCCAATGACCCCAAAACACTGTGGATAGCTGTTGGGGATTTCTGCTTTAGGTCAGGACATTTAAAAGGTGGCCTTTGCTGTATCCCATTGTAGCTCACAAAAACAGATTAAATCTAGAGAAACCATCATGGTTTAGCATGGCCTAATGTGTTGAGCACAGGACCGAGAGGGGAGCTTTGGCTCTTGGCTCTGCTGTGGGTTCACTGGGTGCAGCTACACACACAAGTAACGTGCAGCAATAAACTTTGGCACATATTGCACCCGAGTTTATTGCTCACGGGCACTGTGCTTGAACGACCACAGCACACTGAGCCAGGTTGGAGCACCCCCGGCTGTCAGAGGGTCTGGGGGGTCAGCCTGCCAGCCCAGGGCTGCTCCTGGCTCAACATGCTGCAGAGAGGATGGCTGGGGCACAAGGGGATTCCAGTGTGGGACTAGCTGGCAGGCAGTGCCTGCATAAAGCATCCTTGTGCCCCAACCAGCCCCATCAGCATCTACACATGCACTTCTGCACACTAAAAAAACTCTGCAGTAGGATAGCACTTGAATTTACAAGTACAGTAAAATGACAAAAATCTAGTTTTCAAAATTCTAGAGTTCTCAAAAATCCGGCACTTTAAAAAAATACACTACATCCGGGAGTAGCCGGTCCCAGAGCAGTGGCCACACACTGTTTCAAAAATCCAGAATTTTCAAATTTCCAGCAGGTGCTAGATCCCAAGGATGCCAGACTTATGAGGTTATACCGTACTATCTTACGGTAGATTTTATTATTTGACTGTGGCCTAATAGGGAAGCATGTGCACACACTGAGATGTTTACTGCAAAGCTAATTAGGCAGCTCCACAGTAAATGTCTCATGTAGACATGGCCACTAAGTGCTGTCAGCCCATTCATAAATTTGGGTGACTACTGTTTGGGTTACCAAGTTTTTGACAGCATGGGCTTGATTTTCAAAAGGGCAGAGCAACCCTGATTCCTCAGAAACTCAACTGCTGCTGTATAAATCATAAAATCACAGAAAGTGAGGGTTGGACAGGACCTCAGGAGGTCACATCTAGTCCAACCCCCTGCTCAAAGCAGGACCGCCCCAACTAGATCATCTCAGCCAGGGCTTTGTCAAGCTGGGCCTTAAAAACCTCCAAGGATGGAGACATGCAAGCTTCTACAAACAAGGAACTTGGTGATTGCAGGCAGGTTCTAAAACATGGAGGCACCCAAAATAAAGGATTTTAAAAAAAATTAACTTTTCTGGGCCTCAGCTTTGTGCTCTGTAAAACACCTGCAGCTACCTCCTCTCTCTTGCCTACGTATTCAATTTTCAAAAGGTCCTGAGATCCTCAGATGAAAGAAGCTATCAAAAGGTAACCTGCTATTACTGTGAGAGGAATTGGAGGAGTTGGGTGGTCAGTAAAGATGACTACTCACCTAAGAGCTGATTAGCTGATGAAGTGGTGAGGTTGAACTGCTGCTCTAGGTATTTCCCCAGGAAGGCAGCAAAACCAGCGACCACAGCAATCTCCATGCAGGCAGCCAGGACGATGCAGGTGAAGACAGGGTTGGAAAGTAAGTGCTTTGTTACCTTGGGGATCACTACAATGCAGGGAAAAAAAATAAGAAAAGATTTTCAGGAAGCTTCTCCCTGTGTTTCCCTCGAGGTGCAAGGGACCTCTCAGCTCTCAGGGGACAAATACAGGAGTCCAAGACAAATCCCCCACCTTACACAGAGAAAGGCCTTCCAGAACTAAGCAACACAAAAGCAGAAAGCCCAGGGTGCTCTCATCTATGCCACCATCAAAGAGCCCCAGCCAGCACCGAATGCTTCTCCAAGACACAGACTCTAGCTCAATAAAGGCCACTTACAAAAAACCAGCCTCGTATAGCACTTCCCTAATTTCTTGCTGAACCTCAATGTTGCTTATTAGGTCCAGGATGGTGAAACTTCTGTCCTGATTTGGGATTGCTTAACCACACTGAAAAGACTCCAGAGGTGAATTGTCTTGTTTACAAACCCACCAGAATCTGTTTAAGCCTTGCTCTCTCTGCTGGGACAGCCTGTTAGTGCCTGCTGGGGTGCTGGGTTTATCGAGATAGGCATGCTTCCCATTTCCTAAAACATGTAAGAACATGAGTGTGGAATGGAGCATCCAGTCAGCAGGTTGGCAGGACCTGGTGGGGGGACATGGGTGCCTTTGTTGCATTTTGACTTGCATTCAGAAAAAAAAGGAAATTATTTTGCTTTCTCCTGCTGGACTTTGCACAGATCTCACCATTTGGCATGGGTGACTGGTGCCTTCGGAGTCTGGGCAAGCACCCACAGAAGCTACTGGAGGCGGGGACGGAGCTGGCGAACACCTGCAGAAGCCGCTGGAGGTGTCAATGGCAGGCATGGCCCTGCAGTGGGGGCATGTGCCCCCTCTGTGCCTTCCCTACCAGCTGCCTATGCTGTTTGGGGACTGCTCTGATATTTGGGATAATAGTTTGCCTGAAGAAAAGTGCTATGGGCACAAAGTACATTCCAAGTCCTAACCATTTCACTGTCCCAACATGGGCACAGAGTCTGAAAGATGCAAGAATTAGACAGAGGTAGCTTCTGAGAAGCCAGAAAAGGAGCTCTCAATGCCATTCTTTATCTAGCTCTGATACTGTTAGCAGTGTTGTCAGCTCTCGCAATTTTATCACAAGCCTTCTGATACTCGGTGTCTTCCTAAAAGGCCTAGCTCCTGGATGCATATGATTCTGCGAGAATCTCAACAGTTAGGTAAGATTTTTAGCTGCCGTGTTTGTAGAGCTTGGAAATGTGACGCCCTCATAATGTAAGGCCATAAAAACCAGAAGAGAAAAAGCAAGAAACCAATATTTGTTTGTTTGTTTGTTTTTTTCTTTAAAATCTCATGATTTTGGGGACCAGATATATGGTGTTTCAAAGTGTGTAGTTGACTATATTGTGTCTGAGCCAAAGTCTTTTTGCTTCTTTCAATTTTTGTGTGGGGAAAAAAATTGTCAAGAAGGCAATCTATGTCCCAGCGCTCTCTTCTGCCAGCTTTCCCTTTCTGTGCTTCCATCTGTCTACTTCTGACAGTACCCTGTGCACCTCCAGACATGAGCTGGGGTGTCCCTAATCGGTCGTATACCTTCAGCTGTTCATTGTTCTTTAGTCATAAGCATATACAGATTGTAGCTGTCCTTGCTTTTCCTCGGACCCCAGAGAAATGTTGCATTTCCTCTCTTTCTCTCTCTCTCTCATGCTCTCAACTGTCCAGGTGCTCTGCCGCGTGCATGTACAGCTATTTGTGTGCATTCAAGTGCAGAGGGAGCTGCAACCTGAACTACCCTGTTGCTCCCAGGGCTACAAGGCTGCCAAAAAGTTGTGGAACCGAAGTCCACTCCGAAGATAGGGTAGACTGGGCTCTTTAACCCTGGTCTGCAACCAGTCTAGGAATGAGGTCCTGATAGATGTATAAATGGATGATCTCCTTTGCTCTGACAGCTCCTGTGCCCAAACTGGTTCCAAACATACTGGCACCTGCCTTTCCTTTGGGTTAAGTCAGCAAAGCTGAGAAGGGGACACTGGTGTGTGGGCAGCTCAGTGTCTCTACATACACTCCCCAGGTTTTTGCACCCTGGAGAGGTCACTCCAGTTTTGCTTTATCTTTCAAACAAGGATTACCTTCAGCGAGCTGATGTCACGCTCGGCATAATGTTATTATCTTGCAAGACAGACAGATGCCTACTGCCTACTACAAGCAGCCACTGGGCACAGCGACCCTTCATTTACGGGATTCAGCTCCTTTGGACATGCCGAGTTATCTGCGTGCTGCGCAGATTGACGGACGTGTGGAACTGGACCCTGCCTTTCCAGACAAGCCCTGCTTAAATTCATTAACTGAACACAAGGTACTATGCTGCCATGCACGTGTCAAAGAGCAAAACGTGTTTACTCTATCCTCAGGGTCTCCTGGCTCCTCCCTCTTTATCTGTTAAGGCTTTGAGATCCCTTCAGACCCGTCTCTCTATTTCCGATAAGCCGACGTGAGTTGGGGAGTGATTACTTTACAAAGGGAAATCTGGCTAATGAATCAGATAGTGCATTTTCTACTTCAGCGAGCATTTTAATTATTCCAGAGATAATGCAGCTTCAACGGTATAGAATCCAAACACAGGAGAGAGCCTTTCTTTGTCTTAATACCTGGTGACTAATTTCCCCCTGAATTAAATGTGAAAATCATTAAGTTTGAAAATTATCTCTTGGAAGTGTTAGTAGAGCCTCAATGGGCCTTGTTTGCATTTTAAAATATTTTCGCCCCCTCCCCCAGCCTGCTCTCTCTGTGTATTAGGATCTGGCAGATGACAGATTTCTCCAGTTTTTGCCTCTGTTTTCTCATAGGTCTTTCCTAGTATTTTCAAAATACAATAGCACTGGCTGCAGCAGGCAAATGTGCGGCTCTTTGTTATGCTGCTCGGGCTCTGCTGGTTCTGTTTGAATGGGGGGTATAATTAGCTCAGTCCAACCCTCTAGAAAAAAGCGATTCCACAGTTCCCAGTCTCCTCCATCATGCTTTGTGCTACATAAAGCCTTTGTTTCCTAAGGATTTTGCCGGGCATAATGAATGTGCAGAAGAAGCGGGGTTTTGTTTGTTTGTTTGTTTGTTCCAGAAGAATAGGAAAAATAAAAAGGGCGACTAAATTCAGCTTCCGATCGGTTCCCGGCAGCCACCTGCTTCCTCATTCAGCTCTTCGGTGGCCACCTACTGCATCTGTCTTCTTACCAGAACAAGGAGGAAGAAAGCAAAGGTGAACTTGGAAGAGCTCAGCTCAGAAAGTCATATTTAATGCCTCGCTGCTTGCTGTGCCTCTGGAGTTCAATTTGTATAATGTTGGTGGATTCCTTGAGATGCTCCCTGGTGCCAATTTGAAATCAAAGACACAAAAGGCTAATGGGAAATAACAAGAACAAGTTGCCTTTTAAAGTGAGGGAGTAGCATCTTGCAAGGGATTTATTTAGAAACTCTTTGTGGCCTGGACCAAAAGCCTTGGCAAGGACAAAGCCTTCGTCTTGTACTGTGTCAGCTTAGAGAGAGTTCAGCACTTATCTTAGCGAGGCAACCTGGTCTATGGGGAACAGGGGACCTGGGTTGTCTTCCTAGCTCTGTAAGTGCCCTGCTGTATGCCCTTTGGCAAGCTGCTTCATTTCTCCGTTCCCCTACTGCCCCTTGTCTATTTAGATGTAAGTTCTTTGGAAAAGGTATTGTCTCCTACTGTGTCTTTGTACAGTCTCTAGATTAATTGCCCAGCAGCAGGCATTACTATAACATATAACTAAAGGAGATGTTCAAAGATCAAGGGAGCAAGCATCTGGCAGCCCATTCATCTTGCCAAGGAGGTCCAGATCATTCCCTTTACTTTTCTTCCCTGTACAAAATGAATAAAAGCTCCCACAAAAATGCCTCTCTTCACACTCAACCATGGCCACGAGTTCATCCGTGTGCTGCTAGTTAACCTGCATCATTGCTTTGGGGGGGAAGAGGAGACTAAAAGTTAGTGGTAGAGTTTTAAATCTCTTAATGGGATGGAGGGATGCGCATGGACGTCTGGATTGGGATGTCAGAGTGACGGCTGCATGGGGACTACTTAGTAAATATACCACATGCTGGCTAACACATCTTTCTTTGGGCTGACCCACAGCCCTTTGCTACTGCTCCCAGCTAAGGGCCAGATCCAGCAAAACACACAGTAAGGCACTTTAACAGGCGCTTAAGTCTCAGAGGTATTGATGAGATTTAAGAACAGGCTGAATGAATAATTGAGCTGTTTGGCTCATAGCTGACATCTGCACTTTGGTCTCAGGGTTCAATTCCATCTGACAACCTGGCGCAGGGTGGTCGTTACATGGAAACCAAAGACTGTGTCTCTAGAAATCCCTTGAAAATTCAACAGGCATGATTGATGTGGTGAAGAGAGAATCATGCTGGGATGCTTGGAGCGAGACACTCATTTGACATCCCCACCGCTATCACCATACAGAGACGCTTTGGAGAAGAGAATTTTTCTGCCATTGCATTGTCTATGCCTTCAGTTCCAGAGTAGCAGTAGACAGAGGTTTCCTCCTTACTCTGAAACATGTTTAGTCCAACGCTGAACCAAATGTGGGCTTTCCATGCTCAGGCACTCAGGGTGCCTATAATGAGGCTGCTCTGACATGCTGTAATTACACCGCATCGGAGCACACTTGATTAATCAAGTCTCCAGTGTCACGTATATCAGTGTCCCCGCACTGAAAAATGGTGGCATTTGATGAGCATTTGATGAGCTTTAAAGCATCCCTGCTGCCATTTTTCAGCGTGGGGATGCTGATATAAGTGACACTGGAGGCTGCCGGAGTGCTTTAATCACAGCAAGTCTCAGAGCTGCTCTAATTAAAGCACACCCCCAGAGCACATATATGAACACCCTCACTTTCCCCAGGGTTCTCCCCTTCCTATTCTTAATGTTGCCACCCTCTTCACTTCATGTAATACTCTATGAAATATCCAGAATTAATCACTAGGGGCCTGATTTTTTCAGAGGTATCAACTGGTAGGTAGCCGCAGGTG